AGAAGGTTTAAGGAACTCAACTATACTTTAAATTTATAACACAAGAGTTTATAAAGCCATAGAGAAGGCTTAACTCAAGAAATTCAAGTAAAAAGCCTAATTCTGCCTACATTTCCTTCGATTGTCTGTTTTTCTCTTGAATTGTTTAAATAATCTACTTTATTCTCTGATTAACACTGGCTGGAAATATAACTCCCTTCTCAGTGACAGAGGATATATTAATGAGATTTGATTTTTTCCCTTCGACAAGTAAACAAAAACATGTAGAAGTTCACATGTAGTATCTCGGTATCTATTTAAGATTCCTCTTCCTAGAAGTAGTGTATGTGATTAATAAATAAATAAAAGTCAGAGTTTGGAGTGAGCTGATCTGAGATTGAATGTGATTTTAGACAAGTCACTCAACTTTATTGAGATTTTGTCTACTTACCTATAAAACTGGGATAATAATTTTGCTCCTTGACATTGTCCCATGTACATAAAAGACATGAATGCAGTCAGTATAAATACATATGCTCAAAAATACAGCCCAGTGAAACTAATTCTCTTTGCTCTGTGGAGTTCAAATTTTATAAGGAAAGAACACAAAACATTTCAGAAGTCTAGTCTTATTTACAAAGAACCATTCACATGTTGTATCTGTAAACATATGATTTATTTATGATTTTAATAATGAGGAAACTAGGGAAAAATCAGTTCAGTTGAACATACAAATAATTTTATCTGCATAGTATTTGCAGAGAAAGAATTCACTTAATCAAAATATCACAACAACAAATTTCACAGTTAAACCCACATGCAGATTTTAGAATTATGTTACAGATTGTTTTGATGGAATGTGTTAAATATAAAAATAATCCAATGCAAATTTCCATTTAGCACATCATACAAAATTCATTTTTCAGTGAGATTAACAAGTTTACAATCTTTCCCGTGAGGTGCTATGCATTCAAAGTGCTGCTCTGCAGCATTGAGGTGGAAATCAGGAACAAATACTATAGATCCCCACAGTAATCCAGCTCAGTCATAAATGTAACTGCATATAATGTAGGTGAAATCCACTCATCCAACATAAGACAGACGATGGAGATCTGTGATGTTCAGTGAGTAATACTCATTCTTTAATAGGGGGTAGGGCAGAGGGACTTCATATACACATCAATACAATCATGATAAAAATGAGTTTCAGGTTGACTTCACTTTTACAGTGAGTACCATTTCCAAGAGAAAAAGACAAACAGAAAGACAGAGACACAGAGAAACAAAGAAAGAAAGTTCACAATGCTTCTACAATCCGTTTTCTAATGGAGACTAATCCTCAATACAATCAATAGTCCATGACAGCAGTTCTCAAACTTAAGAGTATATCAGAATTACCCGAAGGGCTTATGATAACAATTGGTAGGCCTCACCCACAATTTCTAATTTAATAGGTACGAGAAGGGGCCAGCGACAAGTTGCAGGTAATGTTGATGCTACCAATCAAGAGAATGGTCCATTATCTGATTTACATCTGGTCCAATATATCTTTGATCATTGAATGGCTCCAGTATTCATTAAAGCGAAAAAACATCTATACTGATAATATTACTGGTCCCTAGGGACGTAGAGAGTAGTTCATCATCCAGCATGAACTGTATGATAATTTAGGACAGCTGTTCTCACCTTTGGTTACATAGCAGAAGTGAAAATTTAAAAACAAACAAAAAAAACCCCTGATGTGTACACCCATCTAAAACTAATTAAATCTGAATCTCTGGGGTGGGGTCAAGGGTTGAGTCATTTGCTAAAGTGCCCCATGAAATTCTAATGTATAGTCAGGCTGGAGAATCATTGCTTTAGGAAATTTTCTTTCACCTCCTCCCACAGAGAAAAGATGGCAAAACATTTGCTCGTTGGGGCACTGATATGTAGATGTCTTCAAGGAAATCATAACCTCTAGGAGGCAAGCTGACGCACAGCTAGAGAATAATATCAGGGAGTAATTTAGAAAGCAATTGTGACTGTTAATTTATAATGAACTGCAAGGTTAGTTCACAGGTTTGAAATAACAGAACTTGGGAAGGTGAGGAGCACACTAATCTAAGTTTCTTTTCCATTGAATGACATCAACTAAAGAGTCTAGAATGGTGGTATAGGTGCTGATGTGCTATGTTTATCTGCTGTATTTATTATACTCACTCCACTTAGCTAAATTATTTACGACTTTGATTTAAATTTGAGTGGCTCTAAAAATAAGGCCCTCAGGGATAAAATGCTGCAGAGCTACCATTTTTCTAATCTACCTCAGAAAGCAGAACTACAGAAAGACACACAAAAAACAAAGGGCACTTTGAAATAAGATTTCTACTTTAAATTACTCTTCTGGCATAAATAGAAAGAATGAATATTTCTAAGTGTAAGTGAATAAACATGCCATGGAATCCTCTTCTGAAAGGACTTAGGGGTCTGGTGCAATCTATAGTCTTGAGTACATGTGGAAGGACCTTTAGAGCTCATTTTCACAGACAAGTCAGTAAAGCCCCAAGCCACTGATCTCAAGGAAAACTCTTATGCATGAAAGTGAGACTAATATTTGATTTTGAAATAAAAAAAATTTAAACAAACCCCAGACATCAGAACTGGTGCCTTCCCATGATCTTTGACAAAAATCAAATTTGAAAACCATCATTTTGATTTGAATATAGATTTGTTAGCTGTGTAGAATGTGTAACAGCCTCAGTTCTCCAGGAACCACTGCTCCGAAGGTGGGTCCTGCAAATCTACTTGAGCTATTTTCGGGGTGTTTACTGAGCTACAGACCAGCACTGACAGATTGGGAACCATCTCAAACAAGCATAGTGATTAAAAAAGGAGAAAGAGCAAGAAACTCTAAAGTCCTGGTGAGGTGCTCGGGTGATTCTTTCTCCACTCTTTATGTCTTCCAGAAGACATCTTTAAGATATCCTGAAAAATAATAAAAAGAATAGTAGTACTATGGATATAATCACTCAAAAATAGTAGAAAATAGGTACTAAGGATGTGAGGGCATTGAAATGCAAAAAAGTAATTTTGGTCTTTAGTTTCAAACTTCAATATTTATATATGTATATGTTATATATTAATTAAATGTGTATTTCTATTTTACACATGAGAAAATGAATATATACTAAAATTTTAAAAACTGCAGAAACGAAGGCATAGAGCCCATTTAAAGGCAAATGATCACAGACTACCTTCATTCCATCCTTCAAAACACTAAAATGGAAATGAATTCTGGAGTAGAGTTTGATTCTTTATTTCTGTGGTCTGTTTCTTGTGGCACATTTTCCTTTCTGTTTCGTTCTTGGGGCCCTATCACGTAGACACAGATCTTGCTACCAGGGGAGCTGCACTTGCAAAACCAAAGTAGGACTTAAAGTCCCAGAGGGAACAGCCTTGGGACCTCGTGTGGGCTCTGGTCCCTTGCCTGCCAGGCTTGGGCTAAGTGGCACAGAATCGGAGCCTGTGTGTATATGTATGTGTACACAGATGCCAATGAAGGGCAAGCCAGCCCAAGGGAGGAGACCCACTGAGGGGCTTCTGCTCAGTCCTGCAAACAGATCAGACTCAACTCACCATCTGTCAGGAAGTCTCCTAGGCCCTCCTGTTGTTCAGGGAAACATCTGCATCCTCACTTTCCCTTTGCACCATCTGCTCTTGCTTCTCTTGGGTTCCAGCAAAATCGGGCTTGGCAGGAGGTGTTGCCGCCGCCTGCAGACTCTCTCTACTCAGTCTGAATTCTTCAGCAGCTCCCGGCCCCAGCCACCCATCACCACTCCGGGTCCCTGCCTCCCCTCCCGCCGACCCTGCACGCTGAGTGCTCTCCACCTCCCCTTCCTCCTGATCCTGTCCTAGCTGAGGGACCTTCCTTTCTGCATCGGAGGGTTCTCCTGGGGCTCCCACCCCAGCCTCTGGCATTGATGTCGCTGTCACCTCCTCCACCGCTGGCACCTCCTCCCCGCTCAGCGCTATTTCCTCTACCGCCACCTTCTCTGCAGCTGCTGCTTTTCCTAGTAACTCATCCTCTCTGTGCCAAGTTTCCTCCCCAGCAACATCTGAAGAGGGGGAGGACTTCTCTGCTACTGTCTGCCCCTCAGCTGTCTTGGAATCTGCCCACACCTCCCTCTTCTCTGCGGCCGTGTCTGCCTTTCCTCCTCCTTGGAGACCTTCCTCAGCCATAACTGCTCCTCCTCCCATGTCCCCATCCCCCTCTGTGTTCCTGTCCTTCATCTCTCCCGTCCCCAGAGCACACTCTTCATCCTCCTCCTCCTCTGGGTCCTTATCCTTCCCTCCTTCATTGGACTTTCCTGCCATCATGGGCTCTCCCTCAGGAACATCTTCCTGGATCATAAGCTTGTCCCCAGCTCCTTCTTGCCCCTGCAGAGGCCCTTCTTCCTCCCTTCCCTGCAGTCCTGCAAGGCAGTCTGGATCCTCAGCTGCACACTCCTCAGCCTCACCTGTGGCTGTGGTCGTCACCTCAGGTGTCTGGGCCTTCCCTGCCAGCTGGCTTGCGGGAGCTCCTGACGCGCCCCCTCCATGGCAGGGGGGCCCCAGCTCCTGCTTGGAAGGGGCCACATCCTCCCTGGCCAGCAGCTCTGCTCGGCCCCTGTGCTCCATGTCTCTGGCTGCGATCAGTCTTTCCCCTTCTCCATCCTTCCTCAGAGTTGTTAGTTTTTCCAGTGACTCTTCAGATCCAGGTCTTGCTTCAAACATGGAAACCACTCTCTCTGTTAGTGAATTTTCTGGAAATCCCGTATCTTCAGTCAGTTCAGATGCCTCAGCAGGCACTTCATCCTCAGCACCAGAGCCAATTTCACTGTGGGGGGCTTTTGTCTCTTCCTCAGATCTCCCTTCCTTCACTGTTTCCCCCTCTTCCCCTTTAAGAGTTGGCTCTTCTTCTAGAACATCTTCATCCTTAGGTGCATCTGCCCTTGTCACCTCTTCTCTCTCAGGTTCAGTTTCCCTCAGAGGTGCTACTGGCCTCTCAGCTCTCCTTTCTCTTGCTCCATCTAATTCCTCAGGTGACATTGCTCTCCTATCATGTTCCCTGTTGGGGTCTGCCTCGGTCACCCTGTCCTGCCGTTGCACGTCGTCCTTGCACAGTTCCTCAGGCCTGCCCTCTGACTCCCCTGCCCTGGCCGCCCCTGTCTCTCCTGTAGAGGAGCTCCAGGGTGTTTCTGTCCCCATAACTTCCTTCCTCTCTCTGGATGGTTTCTCTCCCCCAACCATTGCCTCTCCAGAACCATCCTCTGTCTGGGATGCAGCATCTTCCACGGGCTCCCTGTCCTCTAGGTCTGTGGCCGCTTCCTGTCCACGTCCGTCCATATCTGGCTGTGTGGCCACGGCCGCACTCACAGCCGCCCTGCTCCCAGCCTCTCCATTCTCTGGTGTCACTGCCTCTCTCAGGGCTGCTGCCTCCCAAAGATGCTCCGAGTGCAGAGCTGCTGCCTTGTTTGCAAGCACTGCCTTCTCCGGACTTCGTCCCCATTCAGAAGCTGCTTTCTTTGTCTCGAACCCTGTTTGCATCAAGGCCCACTCGTCAGGAGCCTCATCGTCCTTCA